CAGCGCTAGTCCGTTGCCGCCCGCGCCCGATGCGCACGCCCGCTGCACCCGACGACCGAGACCCGCGTGTCGTTCAACCGTGATCCGTTTGACGTGTCGATTAGAATCGACTAAAGGCCAAACCTATCTGCCCATTAGGTTGTGGTGTTCAGACGAACTTCATCAACGGTACTCTACATCGTCTCAGAGTCGACAAAATTTTAAAAGGTAAACGTCCATATCCTAACTATAGATTCCACTGCGTTAGGATTTATTTCGATGAAGTTCAATGCTATGCATGTTGTTTGACGTTTCTAACAGAACCCAACAGTGGATGCTATGAACAGACATGCAGTTAGCCAAGAGCAGATTGAGGCTTGTTTTATCAACTTCTACCAATCTCTTTTTACATCAGAAGGCTCAAAGGGTGAAGCTGAGATCCTCAATTTAATATCTCCTGTCATTTCTGAGGAGGAGAATTTCAGATTGATTGCACCTGTGGATGAGGCTGTGATACAGACTGCTTTGTTTTCAATGAATCCTAACAAGGCACCAGGAGAAGATGGTATGACTGCACTATTTTTCCAACATTTTTGGCCCCTTATAAAGGATGATCTGTGTGCAGCAATATTGAATTTTTTGACACTGGTAAAATAATGAGGAGCTGGAATCATACTATTATAACCTTAATTCCTAAGTGTGAAAACCATGAATCTGTCAACCAATTTAGACCTATTAGCCTGTGCTCAGTTTCTTACAAAATTATTGCAATGGTCATTGCCTCTAGACTGAAAGATTGCTTAAAATTCTGTATCGGTGAAACTCAGTCTGCTTTTATATCAGAGAGACAGTTACTGGATAATGTGGTAATAGCTCATGAGGTGATTCATCATTTGAATAGACATAGGATGGGCAGTAAAAGCTTTATGCCTGTAAAGTTAGATATGATGAAGGCTTATGACTGTGTGGAATGGAATTGCTTGAATAAATTGATACTGAAGATGGGATTTAGTTCAGTTTTTGTGAGATGGATCGTTGCTTGCATATCTTCATCTGTGTTCTCTTTTAACATCAATGGCAAGGTGACTGGTTTTGTTATCCCATCTAGAGGACTCAAACAAGGAGACCCTCTGTCTCTCTATCTGTTTCTGCTGGTGTCTGAGATATTTTCTAAATTAATTGGGAGTGTTATCACTAGTGGTGATGTGCATGGATTGAAGCTCACAAGAGGTGGGACTGTTCTGTCTCATCTCATGTTTGCAGATGATGCTCTTTTGTTCTGCTCAGCTGACTATCAAAACTCCCAGCACTTACTCAAAATCTTGGCTTATTATCAGAGTTTTACAGGGCAGAGAGTGAATCTTTCTAAATCTTCTGTTTTCTTCAGTAAGAATGCTTCTGAGAGACTAAAGTTTGAAGTGTGTCAATGTATGCACGGGATTGAGGTATGTTACTCCTATAGATACCTTGGTCTTCCTTTGGGCATTGGTAAGAGTAAGAAAGAAGTGTTAGAATATGTAAAGTCTGTTGTGAAGAAGAAGATTGTTAGATGGAAAAAAACAGATTACTATCTTTTGCTGGGAAGGAGGTATTTGTTGAAGGCTATTATATCTGCACTACCAATCTTTGTGATATCCTATATCTGCTTATTTGTGGGAGTGTGTAAAGAAATAGCATAACTGTGTGCAAATTTTTGGTGGTCTTCTGGCAAGGATCAACTGAAAGGTGTGCATTGGCTAGCATGGCAGAAGGCTACTATTCCTAAGAGTGTAGGAGGATTGGGATTCAAAGACTTCAGGGTGTTCAATGACTCTCTTATTTTGAAACAAATTTGAGAGTGTTGACAAATCCAAACTCTCTAATGACTAGAATCTTTAAGGAAAAGTACTTTCCAAATGAATGTGTGCTCAATGTCAGAGGAAAGGCTTCTGCTTCTTGGGTATGGAATTCTTAGGTCAGGGTCATGAACATTCATAAAGAAAGCTTTAGAAAACAGGTTAGAGATGGGTTAAGCACAAAAATCTTGTCTGAACTTTGGGTACTGAGAATCAAATCAGGAGTTCCTTGTTTAAAGCAAAATGTAGAGAGTTTGCAGGTGACATGGATGTGTGAGCCGGTTTCTGATTCTGGGAGGTCTTGGAATAGTGATTTGTTGCATCAACTGTTTACACCTTCTTCCTGTAGAGCCATCTTAGCTATGCAGTCTTTGAATCCAGAGGAGAGAGACATATGGATATAGAGTCCTGATGATAAAGGCAAGTTCTCAGTTGCATCTGCCTATGCATTGGTTATTGGTCAGAAGGTTATGAAGTTAGACTCTCCTAGTTGTAGCTACAATCTGAATCTAGATAAGAAAGCCAGAATGAGATGTTGGTCTCTGAAGGTGAAGCCAAAATTGAGACACTTCTTATGGAAGTGTTTCACAAACAACTTGCCAGTATCTCAGATTCTACTGCAGAGGAGAATTGATGTGGATGTTGTGTGCAGATGTTGTGGGGATGCTATTGAATCTGTAGCACATGTCTTTTTTGAATGCAGGAGAGCACAGGATGTTTGGAAGGCATCACCCTTGTCCTGGGATTTCACTGATGCTGCCAACACAGGCTTTAAGGGATGGTGGTGGCAAATTGCAGAAATGAAGCTCATACCAATTTCTGAAACCCGCATTCAATTGTCTACTTACATTTTATGGTGGCTGTGGAAGTCCCAGAACTTGTGGGTCTTTCAAAACACTTGGATGCCAGAGGAGACTGTGGCTAGGCTAGCCCACAGTGAATGGACTGAGTTTGGTTGTTTTTTTTTATGTTCTCGGTTTTATGTTTGGTGCTTTGCTTTGTTAAGTTTTTTTATCATGTATCCATTGCTAGGTCCTTTTTAAGGTTCAGTGTCTTGGATTAGTTGGAGTGGTTTAGTTGTGTTTTGTTTTTGGTTCTTGTGGTTGGTTAGTTGTAGCAAGGGCACATGATTTCATAACCCCGGTTATGCCTGTCGTACATGTTTGTGTGTTGTTCTAGGCCACCTAGTAGGAGTGGTTGTGGTTTTTGTTAAAGCTAGTAGGTCTTCCGGTTGTAAACTCTTTTACGTTTTTTGTCGAGTAATATGATTGTTTTGAAAAAAAAAAAAAAAACTAATAATATTTTAATAACTAAAATTCGATGAAGCACCCAATTAGTGATGCCGGGCACAGCTCACCAATACCTTTCTTACATACACGATAACGAAACCCTTCTATTCCCCCCAAAAAAAAAGCCCTAATAAACTCCACCACTCTTCGCAGAAGACATCGGTACGGTGTCGTTTACCTCGTTGTTGTCATTCATGGAATCCATACCAAAATCCCTAGATCCGCTGATGTAACCCTCACAGTTTTCCTCCTCTTTTCTCATTTTCTTTTCCCAATTTATTTTCCTATAATTATTATTTCTTTCTTATTTTAAAAACAAAAAAAAAAAAAAAAATTATTAGCAAAAGGAAAAAGGAATTTAGTCGGCATGGATTCGGAGGAATTTCGGACTATCTTATCGAGATCCAGATTTGGGATTTGGGAGCTGATCGAGGCCGCGATTAAAGTTGCCTCCTCGGACTACGGCGATGAGCTGCAGCGCCGCCGTGACAAATTCGTCGAGGCGCTCTACGCGCCGCCGGCGCAGCTCTGCCGGAACTGCAACGGCAGCCTGTACCAGGACGGCGGTGTCGACGAGCCGTATTATCCGCAGGCTGTTAGTAACAATTACAATAACAGCGATAACGTTGATAATGGCAACTACGATGATGAATATAATGATGACGGTAAAAAGTTTGATGACGACGATAAAGGCAACGTGAATTCGAATGATGATTTTGGCAAGAGCCCATTGACGCCGGAGTCCAACCACCGGGAGATTAACGGCGGGGAAGAGGAAGAGGATTTCGATCCGTACGGTGGGTTGTTTGATGATGAGCAGACCAAAATCCTCAGCATCAAAGAGCAGCTTGAAGATCCACTCCAGGTTTACGTTTTATTTCAATTTTTTCCTGTAACGAGATTTTTTATTAGTTTTTTTTTTTTTTTNNCCAAATGATAATAATAATAAAAAAAAAAAAAATCCTTGATCCAGAGTGAAGATGATGTGGTCCAGTTGCTTCAGAACCTGGAAGATATGGATATCACATTTCAAGCGCTGAAGGTGAAAGTTAAGCCTATCTGGTTGAAGAACAATAAGATGGAACTTTTGTTCATCTAGTTTGGTTTTATAAGTGCTTTCTGATTGATTGTCTAGGAAACTGACATAGGAAGACATGTGAACCGATTGAGGAAACATCCATCGAATGAGGTTCGGGTATTGGTGAAGCAACTTGTCAGGTTTTCATGTACCCATTTTTTTGGAATATGACAAAACTCTTTAGTATTAAAGTTAGTTGCAGGTTGTTACTGTATTCATGGTTGATTTTGTTCTTGGTACTGCAGAAAATGGAAGGAAACTGTGGATGAATGGGTTAGGGTGAACCAACCAAAAGGGACTGCAAACCTAAATAATGGTAACATAGTTTTTCAGAACTGGAAGTTGCTCTCTTTAATATTGTCTGATACAGTAGCTAAAAGTAGTTGAAGTTAAGAAGAGTTTCATAAGTTAATGTTGGTGGTGGCAGCTGATGGGGATTCACCTCAGCAGAGCATTCCCAAAAATCAACAAAATGGCCATCACCAGGTGAATTAAGTTAATCCAGACTGATACGTTTATAGGGAAACAAATAAGGAAATAAATAAGGAAAAATAATGTAATGGATGACTGAAATAATTGGAAACTGGCTTAAAATATCAGCAGTTGAAACTCTGAAGCTTTGATTTTTGCAGGTCCCTGATTTTGGGTACTCCCCAAATCCACAGAGTGAGTGTCAATTCAGTATTGAACTCGCGGCTAGTGATTTATTAGCTTGTTTCAATTCGTCATTGATTGACTTACTGCTCTACACTTTTGCTTCTGATTCCTTAATCTCTTTTTTGTTTATATTCCTTTTTTGGGCTTTATGATAGATGGGAGTTCCTCTGTTGAAAAGAATAATGGAGGGCGTGAAATGAAGCAGAAGTCTGTACCAAAATCTATACCCCGAAGAGAAACTTCATCAAGACCACCTTCACAATCACTTTCGAAATCTTCGGCTCCTCCCAATGTACTTGGCTGCTTGCCGACATTTTGATCCATATGTTTGGATTATTTGTGTGCATGTGTTTCTTTATGGATATATGTTAAATGTCAAACTTGTGCCTTCCCGGTATATTTTCTTTATGTAAAATTGCCCAGGGCATTAGCTTACATGTATGCAGCGAGACTAACTAATTATACCTACTTTTCATGTGTTTTGTTTCTAATTGAAGATATGCTAGTTTTAAAGCTGGTTCAATTTGATTGAGTTTCTCATATGCTATAATGTGATTTGTAGAGATCAATCCCAGTCATGGATGATGAGAGGTTAAATTCAGCAAGAAGGCGGCTTCAGGAGAATTATCAAGAAGCCGAGAATGGTCTGATTATAGAGTTTGCAATCTTTTGATTTAGTATAAGCTTTGAATCTTGTGATTGACTTGTTTGTGGATGGTTCTTTTTTTTTTTTTTTCCCCCTCTCTCCCTTTGTATCTTTTTTGTTCTTTTAATTTTTTTTTTCTAATTGCAGCCAAAAAGCAGAGGACGATTCAAGTGATGGATATTCATGAGATTCCCAGACCAAAGACAAAGAATGCATTTTTTGCCAAGAACAAAGGCGGGTTTCAGGGAAAGCACCATAGGTGATTGATTACCCTTTTTTTTGGAATTTGTTGAGTGAACCATGTAATTACCGAACAACTTTGTATCTGTACAAGGGGTTTTTTTTACCCCCAAAACAACTGGTTTTGGCCCCTTTTACGTTTTTTGGTCTTAAGCATAAATTGAAGTATACGACTGATCTTAATCTAAGTTTTATGGGTATGCTACCATGTTGGTTTTGCTAGTCTGACTGAAGTATGTGCAGGGCATTGGATGTCAAAATTTGGCTTAGTCTTTGTTTACTAATCAGTTCAACTAAAAACTCTCCAGAAAGTAATGTATGGGTCTTTATATTAAGAAAGAGAAGAAACTAAATTAGGTATCAAGTATTATGTACTACTCTGTAACAGTGGATGGCATGACCTAACTTTGGACACTTACCCCCTATATATAAATTTACAGATTATGCAGTTTTCTGAATTTGTAAGTCAATTTCTTGTACATCATAATCTTATTGTTTGTTATGCATAAATACAGAGTTTCTTGATCACGTTTGTACGTTCATTATGCAGTTTGGTGCAAAATCGAACTGAAAATAACCACAAAGTGAAGTTCCAAGAATTACAAAATGAATTGTACCGCAATAACGAAAAAAATCGAACCGAGATTTTTTGTTTCATTTTCTTTTTATGTTTTGACTGCCGAATAAAGAAGTCTGAGGTTTACTTACATAGCATTAAGAGGATTAGATGGCAACAATTAACCACACCATAAATACAAAAATTGTGGGTTGCAATTCAAAATATCAAGATAAGTGTCAATTAAGAAAATAGGAATTCAACATCAACTCATCAAACAGAGAATAAACTCAAATAAAGATTTCATATAAAAGCAAATCAACACGCACGCTCACATGTGTATGCTGGCTGGGCAGCTTGTAGAGTGTTGAGGATGACAACGAACAAATTATAGTTGCTTTGCATACAAATGATAGTTTTTTTTGCATATTTTGAGAATACGATGGAAGAAGTGGGCGAGGCAGGCCTAAGGGGATGAGTGCAAGTGATCTTCGAGACACTATATTTTTGGGTTTTGGTAGTGTTCTTCTTTGTTTAGACTTCGATTTGTTGACTCAGTTGATGGCATTGGCAAAACTTGTTGGTAGCTGATATAGCTATACTTGTAAACCGGAGTCAAGCATGAAGAGGTCCAAACGCAACCGAGGAAGAGAGACCTAAGGAGGTCTAGACGAGACTTGAACGTCTCGGCTAAGTATGAAGTGCTCTACACAACTAAGAATGGGGAAGTAGAGGTGCTCTATTTGACTAAGTATGAGAAGTTCCTCACGATTAAGTATGGGAAAGTAGAGGTGCTCTCCCTGAGGTGCTCTCCCTGACTAAGTATGAGAAGCTCCTCACGACTAAGTATAGGGAAGTAAAGGTGCTCTCCGTGACTAAGTATGAGAAGCTCCACACGACTAAGTATGGGGAAGTAGAGGTGCTCTCCGTGATTAAGTATGAGAAGCTGACATCACGTCCGAGTGTCTGAAGTATCGAGCTTCCCAACGGACCCTTTTGCAATTATATCTCTACTTCAGGTCAATGAGAGCACACAAAAAGACAGTTCATTACCCAAAGGAGACGACATCACGTCCGAGTGTCTAAAGTATCGAGCTTCCAAATGGCACCAATGCATTTTCTTTGACCTCTGTCACCCCCCCCAACAAAAGTTAGCACAATCCAGCTCAATTTCTTCACAGAGAGAATTAGGAATTCAGAAGCACGACATGGCATAGGCTGGACTTGACTCAAGAACTGATTTTAACAGTACCGTTCGACCACCCTCAGAAAAATTTTTATGGCTCCAGCTTTGAATTCAATGTGCAACTCTTTCTTTGAGATAGCTAAATTGAGTGCAGTTACTCGTGATTGAAAAGGTGGGAGGGCCCAGGTAAATCTCATGACTTTGAGCAATACCAATTCCCGATACGTATTCGGGCTGAAAAAAGAAAAAGAGGATGATTAATTGATATTATTTAATTATATTGATAATATTGAGGAGGGTTGAGTTGAGTTAAATTTGTCTTAGATTTTGAGTTAAAAAATTATCTGGTCAAAGGTTACCAAATAGTTTATAACCAATCGGGGTCTTAACCATGTTGTTATATTTTGTGCCAATCTCATCAAAGTAAATATCTTTGCCTACAACCTTTCGTTTAGCTGCGTTCTATCCAATTGTACTAGTCACTTCATTAGGTTCATCAATGTCAATGCTCGCATCCCCCTTTTTTGAAGTATTGCTGGAACCAAACTTATCGATTTCTCATCTTTTAACTATCGACAAAAGAAAAAAAAAAAATCATTAGTAAACTATGGAGTGTACATGGGACAGTTTTTAAGTATTCTCCACACATGATCAATATTGCACGATAAACCACTACTCTCAATACATTAGTTTCTGTAAGCACGACTTAATATATCCTCATCACTATAACCACTTCGATAAATATCATAAATATAGTCATAGCTTTCATTGAACCGATACACCTTCTTTTGACTCATATATGTCATTAATATCTTATTAGGTTAAAATCTTTATGAATATAAGTAACATGTTTATTTTCATAAAAATAATTTACAACACGTATTGAAAAGTCTTTGGTCGTCTTATCATTGTCGGTGATAAGCTCGTCGCTTATTGTCTAGTAAGACTTCTCTTATAGCATATTCTCTTCTTCCGTCCAATATAGACGTTTTTTTTCGGCCATATGCAATGGCTCGTGTATTTTTTGACATTTTAAGATCAATGTTTGTTTCATGATCTTAGAGTCGTGATTCTGGAATGTAATTGGGTATCGAATTCTTTCCTCGTTTGTGATCTAGACGATTGACTCGACTGTTGCGGAGAAGATTGTAAAATTTTACTACATAAATACTGCCAATATTCAGGCATGGAGTTTTGAAATAAAATATGTGAAACAAATTGTAAATAATGAATATTGGACGAGACTGGATAATTTTGGAAATATTGTTGCTTTAAAAAAAAATGAGAATTGTGAGAGAATTTAGCCATGATGCAACTTGTGAAAATTGGAAAATTTAAGAGTATTTTTGAATTTTGAGATAATAAAATTTCATTTGAAAGGTTAGGATTCGAATTGAAAATATATATATATATATATATATATATATATATATATATATATAAAATCCTATTATACTTCTTTGTTTGAGAAAATGAATAAATTGCTAAAATACTTTGTGTAATTGAGTGTTGGATCCGTGGTATATTTATACACATGCAAAAATAAATAAAACTTATAATATAAAAGTATACAAATGGATGAGTTTTTTTTTTTTTTTTTTTTTTNNNTTTTTTGGCTTGAGCATGTCATGTAAAGTATGAAATGAATTGTTCAACTTCAATGATCTATTCAACTTGCATATCCTTTTCTTTTTTGTTCTACAAAATTAGTAAAAAATATTGTCTATATTAATGCCCAACAAGCGTTGAAAAATATTAACAACCACATAGAATCATTATTTTTTTTTTCTCACTACTTATTACTACACCCAAAAGTCAAATCCATTAATATTTTGATAATGAACAAAATATCATGAATTTAAGAACTAAAATATATTTTTATACTTGCATCACATCTGGTACGAGCCATCAATACTGAGTTGATATTCATCAGGTATCTTTCTTAGTGAATAAATATTATTTTATTTTTGAGTTAAATTTTACAAAAACCGTTGTATTTGTGATTGTAATGCGATGGCAGATCATTTATCAATGTCTCCATCAAGTCTCGAATTAGATTATGGTCTTGTTTGTTTAATAGCTTTTTAAGAAAAAAATAACTTTTTGGAGAGTTTAGCTTTTTTATTTGGTCAAACCAGCTAAAATTAGTGTTTGGTTAAATGACTTTTTACTTTAGCTGATTGAGCTAATAAGCTAAAAATGAAAATGCTAGAAATAGGAGCGTTTTGTAACAGCTTATGCATATTGGATAGATTTTTCATTTGTTTTTTAATACTTTTATTTTAACTAATTAGAGTGGATGATGGTCTTTATTTTTTAATATTAAAAATCACAAAACAATAGAATTCACTGTATTTTGGGTGCACGTTCCATTTTTTTACCTCTATTTTTTTTGTTTTTTAATATTATATTATCAACAAAACAATTTGTGGTTGATCTATTTTTGAACCCCTATTATTTAACATAATACATTGCATGAGATTCTTTTGTACAATCATAACAATATTACATGTCATAATTTTGTAAACATATTTTAGTATTTTGAAATCATTTATTTGTAAGTTTAATTTATATATTATTTACTTATTACTTTTAATACAAAAAAATTGAAAAATAATTTGAAAATACTTATTATATCAATAATATTTTTTGTTAATATAAAATAATTAAACGAATATAACCAATATGTATTTATAATTTTATATCAAAATAATTTTTAAGTTAATAATACCAAATATTTTTATGAATCAATAAGCTACTTTTACCAAATATACTTTTGAAAACCGTTATTACTATCCGCTGGTCAAAATAGCTGATACAATCAGTTGGTCAAAACAGCTATTACAATCAGCTATCAGATAACAACTAACCGCTAACTACCAAATACCACTTCATCTTCAAGCGATGATTCACTTATATTGTCGAAACAATTATTGAATGAGCAGATGGTAAATGAAAATTCGTCTATTAAAACAACATATAGAAAAAGAATAGTACTAATTATCGCAATGCAAGTTCATACTTTCACAAGTCTTTGGTACACATCTTGACGATGAATCATTATCACCATCATACGGAATTAATATCGATAATTTTTATTAATATAATATTTAAATTTTTATCAATACCGATGCAACTACCTGAAGTGTATTAACAATTTAGCATAGATTTATTTTTGTAAATTATTATTTTATATAATATGCCATTGATAGTATATTTAGTCCCGCTCACCTGCCTACGGTGGGCAGTGCCCACCACTTTTTTTTACATGAAAAACGTATTCTGAGAATACGTTTTTCAATTAATTTAATTGAAAAACATATTCTCAGAATACGTTTTTCATTTAAAAAAAAAGTGGTGGGCACTGTCTACCGTGGGCAGGTGAGCGGTTCTATAGTATATTATCTTCAAGTAATCCATTTAAGCAAGCCAATCTCGAAAATTGAACTTAATAGGCCCAACAACTTGTACCAAAAAAAAAATAGGCCCAACAACCAGCAAATCAAAACGATCTACACTCGGCGCCAATTCCCATATTCTGCAACTGCAACGTAACAACTTCTGACAATTTCTCTCTCTACACCACCTATGGCGAATCCTTCACCACCGCTCCAATCCTCCACCATTCCCCTCTTCTTCTTCCTCATCCTCCTACTCACAGCTGCCTCCGCCACCTCCGCCTCCGCCTCCGCCTCCGCCGGCCTCAACAACACCAGTCCGTACCAAGAACTCGAGACGATGCTCCAAACCCTCAGACGCGACGGCTACGCACTCTTCACGAACGCCATCGCTACCTCCGACCTCAAATTTCAGCTCCTCACCACCATCACCAACGCCACCTCCATCGCCGCCTCTGGAGAGCCAGCTTCGCCGTTCACTCTGTTCGCGCCGACCGATGAGCACCTCTTCGCACTCGACATGGCCACCGACGCCGACGTCTACGTCAGCACCCTGAAATACCACGTCATCCCGAACCGCCGCCACACGTTCGACGGCCTCCGGAATCTGACTTCCCCCTTCCTCGAAACCCTACTTCCCAAATACTCTGTCCTGATAGGGAAAACCCGCGGCGGTCGCGCAGATCTGGTGGACAACGCCACGGCCGTCGACATCATGGTGGACGGGGTTCGGGTCACCGACCCGGATCTGTTTATCGGGTCGAGAATCGCGGTCCACGGCATCGATGGGATTTTGTTGACCGGGCTGAACCTGAACCACCAATTCGGTCACACTGAGAACGGGTCGGATCTCTCTGCCCCCGCTAGTTCTCCGCCGGAGTTTCCCAGGCCAGGGAAGAATATCCCGGAGGCGGAGACTCCAAAACCGAATCCTCAATTTCATAGAGAAGGTATTCCTCCGGCAGTTGCGCCGGCGTCTCGTTCTAATGCGAAAACTCCGATTGCACCGCCGGGAATCTGGCAGGATAAGACGAAGAAGAACTTGTCCGGGAGGAAGAAGATAGGGAGCCGCCGCCGGAGTGGAGGCGGCCGTGGTCACGGCCGTAGGTCCAAGGGACACCGCCGTCACCGTCTTGAGGAGCTGTAGATTGCTTTCTAGTTTCCAGTATTGACGGTAATGGGCTATTGTGTAAATTTGACGTTTACTGGGGGTAGAAATTTCAATTCTGTTAAAAAGATTTGGGGTGAAATTAGTAAGAGTTACCATGAAAGGGCATTTACATGAGTTTTTTTTAGTAGAAAGTAGCTTGAGCCTGATTGCTGAATACGAATTTGTAGAATGAATCAAGATCCGATTGTTTACCATCTTCTAAATGGAAACGCATTTCTCTATTTCGGCTGTATACGTTCACTTACCATTTGCACTTGATTCAATGATTGTAAGTAACATCTTGTCAAAGTCAGAAAATATCACCAAGAGTGCTTCGATGAGATGGTTTGGGTCTCTTCCAGTTTAACCAGTGGTCTCGTGTTTGAGCCCTGGGAATGCAGCAGTGTTAAAACTCTTGAGGGAGAGCTTTGTCGCCCTTGTGGTCCTACCTGGCTCAATTCCGGATTAGTCGATTCCCATGTGGATCCGGAAATTGGAAGGTCCCTGTACCAAAAAAAAAAAGTCAGAAAATATCAAAGGGAAATGTTACAGTCCCGTTACGGAACTAAGATTTTTAACCGTTAGATCATCATGTAACTATCGTGGATAGTTGATCTAACGGTTACAAACTTTAACGGGATGGTTCGATAACGAATCCGTAGAATCTCCCAATATCAAGATTGTCCTCCTCTCGAATGATCGATTTGTTCCATACCATTGAAAGCAGAAAATTTCTTGAATTTTACATATAACCATAGATTTTGCCAGAAGTAAAAAAAGCAAATTTGTATCCGAAAATCTCAAATTATTCTCTGATCGATATCGTTGTCACAAGCAAATCATGGCTAACTAATTTAAAATAGTGGCACACGAAGCAGCCTCTTCTTATTACTTACTATTACAAATACCCCCAACAAAAAAAAAAGCCTTAATATTGTTTGCAAAGAATAAACTACAAGCCCAGTGGGCCAGCGGCGGAGTTGGAGGTGCCTGCACGGCAGATGGCCCGCCAGCATCAAAGTAGCCCTCCAAAAGTTGACCTTCTTCAGTGGTATAGCCGAGGCAGTAGCCCTTGTGGATGGTCCTAATGACCCAACAGCAGTTGAGCCGAAGATAGGTCTTCCCCATTGAGGAAGAAGAGCAGATGTGCAAGACTGGAATTTGAGACGGGCCGTGAGGATGGTCCTTTGGGATTCGAGATTTCGGGACGTGGCTGAGTTTGAGAGTGAGAGGCATAGGATAGGATAGGAGGAGGGCTATTGAGAGTAGCTTGAGAGTGGAATCAGTTTGCATGTTGATTTTAGAGTGAGTGTTAAGTTATCAGCAGTTTGCTATGGAGTTATCGGATGACACGACTTATAGAGTCATCCACACTTATTCACAAATAATGCATTTGACATGTGTCCTACAATAAATACACTTTGGATCTAATGCGCATAAGTGGGTGTTGAATCTGCCATGAACCCTGATGGCCAGATGTCAAAAGTTGACGACAGCGGTGACATCCAGTTGAATCCAAATGTGAAAAGAGATAGAGGTTACGATCTGAAGACCGATTTGAAGCGCCTGGACCTCTGCGTCATAACTCGAGGTGGCCTGAAGAGGGACGTGGAAATCGGTAATGAGATCTCTAGGAGGCACCCTCCTCCTACGGCTCTAGTACGTCAGTCGTAAAATCAGTTGGTGTTCAGCTTAACTCAAAGGGAATCGGGTCACAACCAAACAACGTCTCTAAGGGGGTGTTGGACAGGCGACAACGGGGATGGTATGAGGCGGTGTGGTCGTGCAGCATGTCTAGTCTGTGGGTATGAGTATGTCCAGAGCTGTGAGGAGAGATAGGTGTCGTTCAACCTGCAAAACAACGTGAAAACACATAAAAGTAATACATCTATGCTTCGCACTATTCCTTTCTGTCCAGATGGCCACAGGATCAGACAAGGAATGAAGAAGCTCACGATCTACGGTGTGTGCGCAGTGAGAAGAAACTCAAGAACTCAAAAAAATTGTATGTGATAGGAAGTGATATATGAGTATAAGTGGTAAAATGTTCTCACACTCTCCTCCCAACCTAAAACAAAAAAAAA